TAGAATAGAATAGAATAGAATAGAATAGAATAGAATAGAATAGAATAGAATAGAATAGAATAGCAGAATTCTTTACTGGCCAAGTGTGATACACAAGGAATTTGTTTTCGGTGCATAAGCCCTCAGTGTATATAAAAAATACATTCATCAAGAATCATAAGATACAACACTTAGTGACCATCATAGGATAGTAAATAAACAATCAAATCATATTAGGAAATTAAATAAACAATATAATTCATAAAGCTACAAGCAACAAGGTTATAGTCAAAAGTAGGAGGAGGTAGGTAATAGGAAGGATGAGAAGAATAATAGTAATACCATCCTAGTAAATAGTTTGATAGTGTTGTGGGACTTAGTTGTTTAGCAGAGTGATGGCATGGTGGGAATGTATGTCCAAAGATGTTTTATATAATCATGAAAAGTAACTGTTTTGTCTACTGAATTTTTTCTGTAACACGATAATTTTAAAAGGGTTGCTACTTTTCAGTAGCAGGAATAAGGTATTATCCATATCAAACACCTTTCATGTATCCATATATAATTTACCTGAAATGTATGGTAAATAAATGGGGCCTTAAATTATTAAGAAAATTAATGCACATGTAAGAATTGTACCACTTCAGGATTAAGCATAGTGAAATAAAATATGACAGCCTGAATGAAGAAGTGACAGAATAAAGGACAATTCTCAAATAAAAGTGGACTTAAAATATACTTCACCCAGATATTATTACATTGAATTATTCCTAAACTCTCCTTCAAAGAACTTGCAATGATGGCATTCAGATATATTTCTCTCTCCCGGCACATCATTACAACCCTTTAAACAGGTTAAATCAATAGATATGATTATTGCTAAATCATCAAAGGAATTACCTCATTCCTAATCTGATACTATCTCAAACAGAAAACATGACATTTTTGCAAAATACTTTTGTTGTTGCTTTTTAAAGGAGAATCTTTCATTGTATTATTTTAAATATAGCATATGTCAAAACTTATTTTCATTTTAAATTACATGAGCATGTAACATCAGTACTATGAAGAAACTTGCTCATTATCTCTCATATCGGGCATGTGAAGGAATTAATAAGGCTTGTAAGCTTATTGCCCTATTCACTTTGAATCATTTTATTTATTATCCTTTTTTTTAATCAAGAAAAGGTTTAATTTCCACATAATGCAGATACAGCTTTGAAACCTTCTCATTATTTGAATCCCATTGGGTAGCTAGTGTGCTTACTTCTCTCTTTAAAAGAAAATAAAGCAATTTTCATAAGGTAATAGAGCAAAAGGCTGTAAACTTTTACACAATATTTTAGCATATAGTGTAATGGAAGGTATCTAGGAAACACAGTTTCATCATAACATTAAAAGTACAGACAAGATAAGATAAGGAATCTCACTTTTCATGAACTGGGTACATTGGCATGAATAGATGCTAAGCATGGCATAAGTACTATGCCCAGTTTGATTAGAATTTCAGTTTCCACACACCACAGTGTGTGTATGAGCATGTGTGTAGTTGTGTGTACCTCTAGCCAACTAGTTTCACCCAATTTGATGGGATACATAATCCATGATTACACCAGATTTTAAAACAGTCTTCCAAAGATACAAATCTCTCCTTAAAATTTCATTAACATTTTTTGTTGTTATTTGAAAAGGATAGGAATCTTAGAAGTATAACACCTACTTGAAAAATCAAGGAAAAAAAATACCTTGTTCTGGTTCCATCACTCATGCCATGGTAAGTGCAGCTGCATTGAGAAGGGCAGAAACTATCCACTTCTTCCAAAATGCTGATCGTGACACAAATAGCAGCGAACAGATACATGGTTTCTTTCCAAAATGGTAGGTAAATCCAAAATCGAAGATCTTTTATTCCTAGACAAATCAATCTTGGATGCCAAACTTGTGCATGTAGCTTCCATTTAGTCAGAGCAGATTACCCTGGATTATCTGAGATCTGCAATTACTTAACCTTTAAAGGTACTCTGCAAATGCTCATTTGACATCACTAGTTCTTTATTGTGTCAAAGGGGGAATGCATTATTAGTAAAATTATATCCATTTTGAAAACAAGACTGCTAGAAAAAAGAAGTTAGACACTACAATTTGTAAAAATTGCTAGTGTAATTTGAAATTAACACCGACCTAGTGAGTATGATTATTGCTCTAAAATCCCAGTTCTATTGTTTGAATAACTCCACTGTGCTAAGATCACTATAATGCAGGAAAGGCTTGAAGTCTTTGGATCTCCAAAATGCTTTATTATTTACCATATGTTGTTTCAAAATTACATTATTACTTCTTAAAGAACAACTGCAGATCTGTAATTTAAAGATATTGGTAAAAATGTACAGAAACATAATTTCTTTTAAGTAGTTGGCGGTAGAAAATGATCAACTTAACAAAATTTGAGTAATCTATTGACAGAAACTTAAACTGTTTATTCATTTCTAGCTCTCCAACAATTGAAACATTTCTTTTAATAGAGGTTAATATGTTTGGCAACAATAACTTTGCAAAAAACAAAAATCAGTAATAGAAGGATAATAAATGATTTTTTTCCCTAGGATCATTGAATGTTTTTAGCAATAGAAAGATAAATTTCCGTTACACTTTATAGTGGATTTCTCACTGAAGCAGTTTACAGTGTCACTTAAATTTCAAATCTGAATAATGACTGTTGAAAAAATAGTCATGTATTAATTGTTCAACTGTACTAATCACCCTAGTATATATATTTATAGTATAATCCAAAGAACCATTATCCATGTACAGTAAAGCAGAGAATTGGATACCAGGAATTTTGTGTCTCATATGAAACCAAAGATATACTGTATGCATCATTCTAATATCATATAGTAACCATAAAGTCAAATAGAATCAGTAAACAACAAAGTTATTATACATCAATAGTTACATATGAAGTAGTTCTAATTTTCTTTGTAAGGCAAAAAGCATGACGAGTGGATAAGCTTTAAAGCTGTATCTTTATGCAATTGTACTTTGAGATAAATGCATTGGCAAGATGTTGATTGTTACCTCCTGTCGAACTTGACACTGGATTAGTGCAAGGATGGCCCTTCGAAACCTACAAGAGGGAGAAATGTTTTAAGTGTCTGATAAAAAAAGATCAGCAGAAGATCCAGGCAACATAGGAGGAAATATTTTGCCTAATCTCTAATTCTTTACTACCATAGGATCATTGTCAAGTTCTGATACCTGTACATTTGCTGCTCCTTATTCTCATGCTTCTTTCTCTGGACTTAATCCATGCTAACTTCTGGAGCAGTGGCAAGTACTTTGTTCCCTTGCTTTTATCACAGATAGTTTGCTTGAAAATGCAGGCAGAAAAGGGAGAGAAGCAGTAGGCCACTGGCTTGGCAGATGGACAACAATGGCAATTCCTGGAACTTTATTATAAATGTGTAATCCTCACCATCAACAAAGAACACTTAAAATGTGTGATTTTCATGGTCAACTAATTTGCTGAAAGGTTTTTATTAACACATTTTAATGATTTGCTTGAAATGTTATATTAATCACAAGCTCGGTGTACATAGTGTATGGTGCTGGAGGAAATGGAATGGTAAGTTGTGAGATAAATGGGAAATTATAATCAATACACTATTACAATCAACAATAAAATTCCATTTTAATACCATATAGTCACAAAGAAGTCCTTTTCCACTACAGACTTTCTAACCACAGTGGCTTCCTTATCTTTGAAAATATTGCATTCTGCATAAAACTCATGTCTCCCTCCTCCATCCATGCCCACCCCATCCTGCAATAGAACCACTTACTTTTTATTTGCGATCACATAAATACAGGGATTATAAAAGGTAGATGACTTTGCAAATAGTGGGGCTATGATTGCCATGGTAGGGGGAATTTTCTTTGGGTCTCCAAATGCAGACCATAAACACACAACAGAATATGGAGACCAAGCCAGCAGAAACATCAAAATCATAACAACAGACATCTGTAAACAAAAACAAAAAATGTAATTCTTTAATATTTTTGTTAAGGCTGTCTTAAATATCTATTTGGTTTCTTCCTCAAACTTGTATTCTGCCTAGTCATTCTTTTTTCTACATCTTCCAGATATACTGTATTATAGCAATGCTAATAGAAAGCAGAAGTTATAATCTGTGCTGATTAAGAATATATGTTGTAGAGAATTGCCATATGGCTCATATCGCAGTCTGCAGGCAACCTCGGGTTATACAAGCTTTGACTTAAGTAATTCCAGTGTTATCCAAGGACACACAAAAAATACAGCCATTAATTTGCTCTTATTGCTACTCAGTCCTGTAGCCAAGTCCATTCTTTTTCTCTTCCCAAGTATCATACCTGGACAACTGCCATACCCTGCCTGGCCCTGAGTTGTTTCTCCACGCAAGTGTGGGGAAAATAAACTTTCAATCCCTTCTTCCAATTTTTCCTCTGTCCAAGCAAATATCTTTTTAAGTATAAAATTTAGTGTTAACTTCCACAATTTTAATTCCTTACAATCTATACATAAAACTTTCTAAATGCCCTGCTCTGGAGCCTATGTTTTATGTTTAAATTGTATTGCTCAATGTTTCTTATCTGAGACTTTAAACTAAATGCCAATTCGTTTAAACCTGATCCCCTTCACTGAGTTGATTGATTAGTTGACTGGTTGATTTAGCCACCCTTCTCACTATCCAAAGTGACTTCGGGTGGCTGTATTGTATGCTGGTTTCACAATAGATTGTAAACCAGAACTCAACAAACTGAAGCTCAAGTAGCTCGGTAATTTGGTATTGCCTCAATATCTTTGGGATTTTTTTTTTCACTTGCATCGTTATGCATCTCACCTATATTATTTACTAACACCTGATTTCCACACATGTGACTGATTACAGACATTAAACTCAAATATTTTCATAACAATCTTTTGCAAATGAACACAGTGAGAAAATATTATAGGCATATTTAGTATCTATTTAGCAGCACCCGCTCTTTGGAATATCTTACCCTGTAAGACAGGGGTGTCAAACTCAATTTCATTGAGAACTGGATCAGGGTTATGTTTGACTTGGGGGACTGGGGTGGGTGTGGCCAAGGTGGGCATGGCCAACTTAACGTCACTCATGTTGGGGTGCCTGTGGTGGCCCAAGCACTCTGCCAGCAAAAATGGGCTCCTGAGCTCCGTTTTTAACCGTGACGGCCTCCTGCAGCCTTCTGCCAGTGAAAATGGAGTTGGGGGTGTTGCATGTGGGCCCCCACAGGCTCTGTTTTTGCTGGCAGAGGGCTGCAGGGGGCCACCATGGCCAAAAACAGAGCCCTGGAAGGTTGTGCATGGCCCTCCAGAGCTCCATTTTCACTGGCTTAATCACCAAGAGCCGGTCCTTCGCTGTTTCCAGGGCAGTTGTTTTGAGCCATCTTTTTGTTTTCATATTGATGTTGTGTTCTTTTACATTATTTATTTAATTGTTCTATCATTTTATTTCTATTCTGTTTACACTCTTTTCATTTCTTCCATTTTATTGTTGTAAGCTGCCTGGAGTAGCCCCATGGAGAGATAGGTGGCAAATAAATTTAACAAATAAATAATAAAGAAATTTAAATTACTATTAATAAAGTTTTCAGTTATTGAATATGCTAAGTCTAGTAGACTCAGGTTACCCTTTTAATCTAAAGCCTGGTTTTCTCTCCCTAATACATACATACATACCTACCTACATACATACATACATACATACATACATATGCATGTGTTTGGTGTAAACATAACAGTGCTACATATAAACATTGTACGTCTCATGTAAGCCACATCACAAACAGACATTAAAGAAAAGTAGGGTGATGTGAAGAATTTACAATATAAAGAAGGTACCAGATAGAAAAGCATAGGAGAGTGAAGTGTAAATGATCTCCATGGAGATTTCTTTTTCCATTTCTTACCTAAAGCAATATTGAGTATTTTTGTTTGAGAGGGGAGGGGGGGAGGGGGGGAAAAGGAGGGAGGGAGGGAGAGAACATGATGTACATTTTAAGCCAACCTGCTTATTTTTCTTGGCATCATACACAGAATAATTCTGAAAGAGAAAAAGGGTATTCTCACATCATGACCTTACCTTTGTAACATCAACTTGATCTGACCAATCTACTTCAATGCTTTCTAGATAAGTGTTCCTGGCATATCGCTTCAAAGTTTGAGAGATATTGTAGTAACAGTAAAACATGATGGATAAGGGGACGACAAAATTAACAGCAATTACTGACATAGTGTAAGAAACAAAGGATCTGAAAGTGAAAAAAACCAAACAGATAACTGAAAAACTTTTCTTTATTGATAGTATCGACACAATTACCTGAATATATTCTAAAATTATGTGGAACTTAAATAGCTGAATTGGTTGATAGTTGATATTCTAAACCTAGCTATTTGTTGGAGTGGTTTAGGCAGTAATCTAGAACTCATTCTGTACAAATTCTAACATTGGGCTTCCTCTCAGGTAAATATAGGCAAGATTCAGAAGTGTCCAATCCTAGCCACAATGACCAAAATAATGAAGTATGCATTGTGAGATCATAATGCAAGCTCTACCATTTTGTACTTATATCACTTGACACTACCCATTTGCCCCTGCTAAGCCTACATCCATGTCTAACACAACTGTCTTTGAAAGCAAGGTCTACCCAAAATTTCACACCTGTTAAGGACCCTATGCTTCTTTAAATTGCTTCTGCTTATCCATTGGCCCTATCCATTAAGCCTTGAAAATACTTAGATATATTTTGTTGGCCTTTGTTTCCAGCCTATGTAGATATTCTTTTCTTCGAGACATAAATGAAAACAGTAATACTAAAATAAGTACAACAGTGTCATTAATTATTCACCAGAAAACAATAAATGGACCCAGATTCAATGGTGTCCTGGATGCATCAGATTTAAACAATGTGGACAAAATTTTCTCCCTTAGTGATTTGTAAGACAGTTGTTCCCTTCCAAACTATTCAATGCTTGTTCAAATTTTTAGGACTTTAAGGCTTTGGTGAGATCCTAACAGTGCAAAATTATCATCATGAACGTTGTACTTCACCATAAAAAGAACATACGTGTCATTTTCTCTCCAGTTTATGGTACAGGTTGCTCCAGTTGGATCTGGAGCATAGCTTGCCCATCCTATCACAGGCATAGAGGCCCAAAAGACTGCATTGGTCCAGGCAGCAAAAATTAGGGCAACATAGTTGTGAGTAGTTAGTCTGTTACCTGTTGGCAAACCAAAACATCACCTCTAATTATTCTTTCCTATCATTTGTACCATTCTATTCAAAAGCAAAGAATACAAAAGTTGCAATGAAAATTTTATTAATACACAAATCAAATGTAATAATTATTGAAATATTAAATTCATGTTCATATCTATACAATATCTAAACAGCTAACTTCCCTCATTGAAAATTGCATATTTTTTCTGTTATAAAGATGATATGGTATGATATAATATGATATACTGTATGTTCATACGCACACATTTACAAACATTGATGAAAAAATTGACAAAGTTGCTGAGAACGTTCTCCTAACAATAACCTGAAAGAATCTTTTTTCAACTTGGTGCCTCCAGATAGTTTAAATTAAAAACAAAATAATCATACCCATTTGTTAACTTGATGTTAGAGTAGTTGCAGCCCATCAAGTCTAGAGATAACAAAAAAAAAATAAACAAAGGTTTTCCTAACTCATAACTGTGCCTTCAATACTAAATTAATGTATTTTCATTATGCTATACTTAATAAATAATCGCTGGATAATCTTCCAACTCAACATTGACTAGACTAGGAGGTAAGTTTAGCAAATTTGTTTCATCATATGCCTAAATTAAGTATAAAAAGGGGACATCAGAACAAAACAATCAAGTTTAAATATCTTGAGCTTTACAGTCTAATTCCAGTCTATCATAAACTACAGATGCCTAATTTTTTTGATGCATTTGACCTATTCATAATAGGAACACTCACAATATGGCTGCAATGGTTACACTTTGCTTAGTATTTACAAAATCTATATTTATGAAAAATGAAATGGATAAATATATTCCCAGCTAATTTCTGCCATTTGCACGACAGATCTTCTTCAACCTTTATTTCTTGCTGAAAAGATGATCTCACTTCCAAACAGTTGGCTGCCATCGTGCATCATTTTAATCATCTAAAATGCCCAAAGATTATGGTGCTTGGCTTCTTAATGGTGTGAAGCATGTTATCAGAGCTTCCCTTGATAAAAGAATTTAGATCAGGTGCTTCAGGGATCTTGACAATTCAGTATTGAGATATTTTCAGGCACTTGGTATTTACAGAACCAGATTCCCAGGTCTATTTTTACTCTATAAAACTGGCTAATGCGATCTCAATTCTGTATTTGTTTTCCTTCTAACACTTCCAATTTGGTATACACACTGACTTTTTGCTGTCTTCAGTCATTCACAAATTAAGAGTGTAGACGGTTAAGAAATAGGAAATATAAATTTTTTTAAAAATAACCTTAATATCCCTCAATTGAAATCAGAGGTAGGTTTTGTTATGTAATCCTCCAAAGTACAAGAGCAAAATTAACGAAGCATACTTTTACAAGAGCAATTTTTTTTTTACATGTTTTGTTTCCACAATTCTTTCTTATCTACAAGCAACAGATAATAGGAAAAGAAGAATTGGAAGAACTGAAGACCTGGTTCGGCCAGTGGGCCCGAAGAACCCAGAATGGGATTGAGCCCATTAAATGGCTCATGTGATCTGCTGTCGCTGGGGTGGGGGGTGATTTTATTATTATATTAATTTATTATGATTTTATTATATTAATTTATTATTTTATTGTTATGCTAATTTATTTGATTTTTTTAAAATTATTTATGGTTTTAAATGTGGTTTTTATATTTTGTAAACTGCCTTGAGTCGCCATGGCCAAATAGGCAGCAATATAAATTTATTAAATAAATAAACAAACATAACTAGACAAAAAAAACCATTCTGAAAAAAGTCATGGGAAACCATTTCAATATTATTATCAAAAATTTATATGAAATTCAGCAAGAGTCAAACTCAATATGAAGGAAATTTGTACTTTACTACAAAACTGAGCAACTCTGTATGCAAAATTTGAATAATATAGAGTTCAAAATGTGGGATTTGCCACGAAACAAATCACCAAAATCTACATATACTGAACAACAGTATGCCTTTATTTCAGAATACTGAGCATCATACCTATTTGAGGCTTGCAGATGGTCAAATAACGATCTATGGCAACAACAGTAAGCAAACCAATGCTTGCCATTCCAAAGAAGATATTTAAAGCAGCATAAATCTAGAATTAAAGAAAGAATACATGATTTAAAATGTTTTAAAATAATATTGGTTGTTTTCAAAGGTCTGAAATTAGGCTTTTCTTTTACTATTAGCAGTAGCACTTAGACATATATACTGCTTTACAGGGCTTTACAGTAAGCCCTTTCTAAGTGGTCTACAGAGTCAGCATATTGCCCCCAACAATCTCGGTCCTCATTTTACCCTCTTTGGAAAGATGAAAGGCTGAGTCAACTTTGAGTCTAGTGAGATTCGAACTGCCAAATTGGAGGCAGCCGGCAGTCAGCAGAAATAGCCTCCAGGGCTGCATTCTAACCACTGTGCCACTGTGGCTCTTATCAATGAAACATTGTCTCTTCTACACAGATATCTACATGAAGATCCATTTGTTTAATGTCCCATTATAATTTTCAGCTAATTAGTAAAGCCAAGCTTAACACAGAGCTATTCTACTTACTTATTTTATTATTTCATGAAATTTGGAGGCTGACCATGGAAGAGTAAAAATAGAAAATAACGAAAATATTTTTTTAAAAAAGAAAATTTCATGTATCTGGATAAACACATTTCTAATAATAGAAGTTATAGCAAATAAAGCTCCCCAAGAGACCCAGCTATCCCAAAGCCTGGGAAAACAGCCACCTTTTAAAGGTTTCCAGAACATCCTCAGGATAAAAGCCAAACTCATCGATAATGGATATTTTTCCAGAGGTATGTGCCATCATAGAAGGCACACTTTCTGGATCCTGATAGATAGCACTACTTAACCAATTGGGCCCAAAATACATCAGCTATGCCTGATCTTACAGGATAGACAAAAACCATGGGAGGTAGGCAGTCCCTCAGACAACCTGACCCTATACTATGAAGGACTCTATAGATGATAATAATCAGCATCTGGAATTTCAAATGAGAGCTGGCAGCCAGTGTAATCTTTATAGAACTGATGTCACATTGGCATACTGAAACATGCCCAAAATTGCTGTGGTTGCTAGATTTAGGATGTGATGTAGCTTCCAAATGGTGTCCATGGGCTGTCCGAGTAGAACACATTGCAATAGTCCAACTGTGAGTGACCATTAGAAGAACCTCACAATCTACAAATGGGCAGAATTGGTAAACCAGATGTAGCTGGGCAAAGATCTTGTGAGCCAAAGCTGCCACCCACTCAAGCAGGATCTGGAAGTCCAAGGTGATACACACCTTGTCTGTCAGTTTTGAGGTAGAGTACAATCTCATTTAAGACTAATGATAGTTTTAAGATTGCGAGAGGGGAGGCAAAAGCCCACAACTAGTTGGCAGGATAGAATCTGAGTCTGTTTCTCCATCCAGATCCACAGAACTTCCAGACAGGATTTCCTGTTCCTTGGATAGCCTAAGAGAACATGTAGAGCTCAGTTTTCCTAGCTCTTATTGTCAACAGTACTTCAGAAGAGGCCTTTCCTATAATCTAAGCCCAAATCCTTTTAACAGGAGCTACTGGGTTTGCGTTCATGACCACTGGAATACAAATCACATATTGTATTCTGCCTTTAAGTCATGCTGTTTCTTCATGAGATTATCGCAATCAACTATCCCTAGTAAATTTCAAGGAAGAACAAGAAGCAAGACTTTTTATTGTGCTACTCAAGACAGCCATCTACTGACAAATGTGATACATTTTATATCCTAATTTGCACAGTCATTTTACTAGGCTACTAGAAAGGTAGTTTGGGTAGATTTTTGAAAGTGAAATAGTAACAAATTTATAACATATGAAAAAATAAGATAACTTCCTGAAACTTGGAGTGTGTGTTGGGAATGTAACTTCAAGAGTTTCCAACCAGAAATATCTCTGGGAAAAGCATGGTAGAAATAGAGCTGATAACAATGATTTTTTTTTAATTTAATAATTCTATATTCCTAGTTCAAGACTTTTTTAATTTAATGAAAGTAGATCCAGTATATTAATTTACTCCTTCTAAAGCAGGAGACGGTTGTGATCGAAGTTACATAGTTACTCCATCTAGTTTTTTTTTAATTTGATATTTCCCGTTAGTCAGTTCTTTTAAGAGGAGATGCCAAGATTTAACAGTCAGGTGGTATGCAAGGTGCTTGCTGTGTTATATTAACAAACAACCCTCTCTTCCCAGAAGATGAAATACTATCTGCTCCTATATGTATATCCCTCAAAAAAAAAATCCCAACCATTCAAATAAATTAATATAAGTTATAATTAATAATATGATTTGTCAGTCCGCCTAAATAATCCTTTTTATGAAAAGATTTTGTCTTTTTACTTTATGGACCAAGAAATATATTTTCAACAATTTAATCTATTTGGATTTGCTGGTCTTTTGGTAATGATTTCCTTCTAGCACCAAAACTCACAGATATTTAGTAGTAGTTCTCAGAAATGTGTTTTCACCATAAATGCACTAGTAGAAAGAGATGTGTTATTCAACTCTTTGTGCTAAAAAGAACTTGTAGAAACATTTAACAGTCTGTTTTGTTATCTGTTTCTGAACACTGATTTGAACAGGGCTACATACAATATGTGTAATATAATCCTTTATTTTAATACTCAAGTACCTGGCAACCCAGGTAGCCAAATTTCCAGCTTCCATGCAGATCTGAAGCCGCAGACATTGGATACCCAATACTACTCACTCCAATATCCGTAAAAGCCAGGTGAATAATAATAGTATTGCTTGGTGTTCGAAGTTCCTTAAATTTAACGAAGATGCTTAAAACAACAATATTACTGAGAAGACTTATGACTCCTGTCAAAAGATAAAAAATGGAGAGTAAACTTTAGAAATTTTAGTCTTCATAGACCTAATCTGAGTTTCATACTACAGTATTTACAAAGAGACTAAGCTCATCATCAGATCATCATCATCCTTTTAAAAACCTTATTAAGAATGAGTTTTGTGGCAGGTTGGCATAATAGCAATAGCACTTAGACTTATATACTGCTTCACCGTGCTTTACAACCATCTCAAATGTTTTACAGAAGGAGACTGTGAGTTTTAGTCCCTTCTTAGGCACAAAGCCAGCTGAGTGACCTCCCTTCAACCGTAGGAAGAAGGCAATGGCAAACCATTCCTGAAAAACCTTGCCAGGAAGACTGCAGGACCTAATCCAGGTAGTCACCAGGAGTCAAAACTGACTCATAGTTACCAATAATTAAAAACAGGCTGAATTCACACACAATACTAAACTCATAATGCATCCATAGGGCAATTTATTTGGCTTTTACTTGGCAATGTTTCATGAACCCAACAATTATTATTTGTAATTGTAATTGATGTTTTATCATATGTGAACCAATCCAGTTAGATTATATCACATCATGCTTGAGCAGGTACAAAGTTAATTAGGTATTTCATCACCAGCTCCATTTAGATCAGGAGTGCGTACCCAGACCATGGGGTGCTTAAATCTGGCCCATGGAGCCGGCCTGGAAATATCAAAGGATCGGCCTGAGGTGCCTCTGGTGGCTAAAATGCCCCTTCCCCACACCTCGTTTTCACCCCCCATGGCCTCCTACAGCACTCTGATGGCCAAAAATAACCCGAAAACGGCCCCCAAAATGATCCCAAAACTGCCCAGAAATGGGCCACGTGGCACCTTTTCAGCCAGCAGAGTGCTGCAGGAGGTATCCATCTCACTCCCCCCCCTCACCCCCAGCCTATGGAGGAGAACTACAATGCTGATCTGGCCCTCAAAGAAATCCAATTTGATACCCCTGATTTAGAGAGTAAAAATCTATAGAAAATACCGAACATAATTTATGGGCAGAAATCCATTACACACTTGCTAGGGAATTCTAGAAGTTGAAATCCACAGTTCTTAAAATTGCTCAAGTTGAGAACCACTAGACAATATAATACCTAAGTGTTTATATTCTATGATCTCATTATGGAAATAAAAAAACAAGTTATTGTTCATGAATACATTACTACTGATTAGTTCCTTAATACAAATGTTACTGATATCATCTCAAAGGACAGGACAGAATTCCGTTTCTACCACCATCACATCACAAAACCACAATATGGGAGAATACAATACGAATCAGACAGGATGTATTTTATGGGTTCACACTGTACAGTGCATCATAAACTAACCTAAAATATTTATAGTCTAAATTTATAATCTAAAATATGATAGTCTATGAAACAATCAGTTCTGCAAATGCAGCTAATGATTAAGATACATTTTGACAGGAGGAATGGAAGGGAATTAGATACCAAGACTGAAAGCCAACAATCTTTCTATTTATTCTTTGAATTTGTTTCTCTGAGGGAGAAAAAGCTCCCATCCTCAACATTTTATTAATCCCAAACATACATAGCATTTCCTTCTTTTACATGTTGGCTTCATTTGATATATTTAATTTAGTGGCGTATTAGGTTGGTCTACACATGCAAGTTCCAGTGAACTCAACTATGCCAACATCTAGCTAACTGGATTTAAAATTAGAAGTCAGGAAGGTGCTCTACAAAGTGTCAAATATTATCTTATTTACAGGGAATAGCATAAAGGCAGGGGAATTCCAGCCTTTTGTTCAGAGTTGCCATGCATGCGAGCTTAGTTCTTTTGCATGCAAAACAGGTTTTTCCATCACTGAAGTACTACTCTGCCCAGATTTTAAGTGACTATAGAAGACTTATAAAGATTAGCATATGAAGAACTTTGGATTTGAAAGCAAGAAAATATCTTCAGACTGTATTAGGGAGCAAAAGTAGAAGTTGTCTGGAATGCCTTAAAGTGGGGGTCCCCACCCCCAGTCCGTGGCATATCAGAAACTAGGCCGCACAGACAAGCAAAGACTCAACCACGGTGTACAGCCAGCACACAAAACCACGCCCCACCTCCAGTCAGCAGATAAATCTCTCTCCACGGAACCAGTCCCTGATGGCCTGAAGTTTGGTGGGTGGGAAGCTGCTGCCTTAAAGCAATTCTATCCTGAAAAAAAATACTTGGTTTAAAAAGCTGCACATAGAGGCTATTTGCATATCCCTGGGTATTCTGAAGTACCTTTTGCCTTCAAATCCAAAGAATAGCAATCCCTTTTCACATTTCCTTGCTTATGTTTAATTAAAGCTGAAAAAAATTAAGTGATAATTTTTTTTATTAAGGTGCCTCAGTATTTTATTAATCAAATGCATTCCCTGTTCATACCTGCTGCGATCAAGTATGCTGCGATAATGTTGTGTTCCTTCTGTGAAAAGGCTGATGGAAACTCACTAGTACTTTCCACAGTCATAGTAGGATAATTCCAAAAATGTGGCAGAGCAAAGAAAACAGGGAAGAACTCTGAAAGAAAGGAAGAAACTTTTGCAATCCTTTTAAGATGAATGGTGATCTTCTAAAAATTCTTACGAATGTCCTACTCTCTTGAAAGGCTCCCAACAGGATTCTGATTAAAGAAAGCAAAGGGGCTTACATTCCTAGCCTTTGGAAGGGAAAAGCTTGTTAAGTCAAACAAAGAACACTACAGAGCTGCTTTTTATTTTCAGTAAGATTTTTGTGTCTTGTGGTAAGAGATTTACTAATTCTACAAAACCCAGATTTTGAACTGCAGTCTTTAGCATTTTATTAACATAATACTTCCAGCACTTTTAATAGCAAGTCATGAAGCAAAATAAACTCAGTTGCTATAAAAAAATGATTTTTTTTCTGTTTGCAAGGAACAGATTGCAAATGCACACTGCAAACTGGAAGTCTACCTTGAAATATTTCTAACACATCTGCTATCAACTGGCTTACATAAATTTGGATTGTGAATCAAACATGGTTCTTATTGACTTTGATTGTACTCATGCAACATGCTAAACCAGTGATGGTGAACTTATGACAAGCGTTTCAAAGGTGACATGACATGTAGGTGACCTACCAGCATTCACCAATACCCAACACCTATTCTCAAAATCACACCCCGTTTTCCACATGATTTTTGGATGTTGCAGAGGTTGTGTGAAAATGGTGTGCTCTCAAGAGGTTTCTGGAAGTCGCACAAGAATGGCTGTGTGCTTTTGGGCAGTTTTCAGAAGCTGTACAGATCCTGGAAGACAATTCTCTGAAGCCACTTTAAGAATGAAGACCTTGTGCAATGCTGTCCATTCCTTGGTTCAAGTTTTTATATAACATCAATATTTTAGTTGATCCTATATTTATTTTTTACTACCTGCAAGCTATCCAGAGTCACCTTATTTATGAGAGAAGGAAGGAAGGAAGGAAGGAAGGAAGGAAGGAAGGAAGGAAGGAA